CTTTCTCTTACTTTCTTAAACACTAATTTTTTGATCTTTCCACCTATCATCTCATAAGCCCCTTGCTACTCTGACCTGCCTTTCAGCATTATTAAAACCAGTGAAGATTTAAATTGGTCCTCTGGAAGATACCGGGTTTGAGTGCACACTCATAAAATTAGGGCTTTCACCTCTGATCACAAAGATTAAAGGGAAAAAAAATGGTCTTCCCAGGCTTTCCAATCTTATTTTTAAGGCATAAAAACACCAGTTGCATCTCAGCCCTTTCCACGGTGACCAAGTGTTGAAAATGTTTATGTGCCAACATTCAGAGAGTTATTTTAAAGATGATACAATATAAATGGAAAGTTCTCTTATGGGTCCAAATTCCTGTGTTGCTAAGCAAATATTTTATTAAGAGAGCTCCCAAAGTAGTTCCACAGGAACTTGTTCAGGTTATTTAACTTGCAGTCCTTTTTATTGCTCTATTATTCCTTATCCTTAACTGCTGAAAGAGGATGTAACAAGTGCCATGTTTTTACTCTTGGTGAGGTTTGAGGTCCTGGAAGGACCTTTGGGGATTTTATTTTGCCTTTTATGGGCTCTTAGAACATCTGATTTGCCTTTTTTTATTCAGAGAGTGTTTGCTGAGCTACAGCAAGATCCAGAGTTTACCTGGAAGCCCATCACTAAAAATGAAACCAGGTGAGAAGCAACGAGCCTAAGCTGAGGGTCCAGCATTTAAAAATGCTGTTTTCTGGCAGGAAACTTTTTTCCAGCCTGTGTCCTGGTGCATCCCACTCCCAGGTGTTCTGTGGAAGGATGGGACACCCAGAGTACTTTTTTTTCTCCTGTTGTTTCACATCAACTCCTCTACCATCATCTGATACCTTGATACTTCCAGCCTCTGTGGAGGCAGAGGAATTAAGACATGGTTGTGACATGGAAGTGTTCCAAAGGGGTGTGGATGTGGCACTTGGGGACATGGTTTAGTGGGGAACAGGGTGGCCCTGGGTTAACTGTTGGACTTGATGATCTTAGAGGTCTTTTCCAACCTTAATGATTCCATGACAACACAGATGATGCAGAAAGAGGAGATGAAAATGTGTCATGTCACCTGTATCTCTGCCCTTAAAAGCCAAAACCAGCTGTGCAGTGTATCCTGAGCTGCCACTTTGGGAATACTGGATGGAGAGACACAGTAGGTGGCACAACATCTAGACCTGCACTCTGGATTCATCAGTTCTGCTCACCAAACCCAGGAGACCTTGGTTTGAGTGGAAGTTCTTTGGTGGAAGAGCTCAACCACTGCCAGCACATCGTGACTTTTCCAGTCTTTCCGTGTCAGCAAAAGATCCCAAAGAATTACAAGTTCCAACAACTTCTTCCCTGCCTAAAAATAATCAGATATTCTTACCTTCTGGGAAAAAAAAAAAAAAAGCAGTTCTGCTGGAAGCTTGCACTGTAAAACTGTTATTTTAATTAGCTCTCCAAAGTTTTGAACTGAATAAATTATTGTTATCCACAGGAAACGTTTAACATATATTTCTGTTTGCATAATTAATTTAATCCCCTTCACTCCCTCTCCTCCTCTCTCAGCCTTCCCCAAACTTGAACACAGTACAAACTGCTGTGAGAATACTTCTGCCTGAGAGAATAGCAAAGAAACTCTCCAGAACAATCCCTGTGTCTGAGGCAACCGATTTAAAGCTTTCACTGAAGCAGGAGAAATGACAAATAACAATTATTAATATGCATGAGGTACCAAACAGCACGGAGTGAACAGTGTAGGTGGGTTTAGACAGAAAAGGGCTAGAGCATCACTCATCTCATCCTCAGGTAGACATTTCAAATAGATGTAAGACAGCAAAATCCCTTCCATGAAATATGCAGCTGACTACAGGAAGTCCCAGGTGAATAGCACAGATGCAGATGTCTAGTTTGGAGTTGTCTGAAGTTAAGTGAGGGAAATCCCACCCTGAGGGCTTACATGAGTTTTAGATAAAATAATTGCATGAGCTCCCTAAGAAGAATTTACAAAACCAAAGAAAGGATCGTCACTCTGAGCTCTAAGGGACATGATTCTTTGGAAAAGTACAAGGATTCATTTAATTTATCATGATCTATAAAATCACAGCTCCTCTCAGACCTGTTGCTCAGTGACTGCAGGTTCCCTGTTCCCTGTTCCCTTCCTTCACTGCTCACTTTTCCATGAGGACCAAAATCCTCTCACATATCTCTCTGCAACAGGCACTTTGTTTTCACAACAGCTCACTCTCCTCTTTCCATTCTTACAGGGTGTTTCCCTCCTCTCCAAGATGAACCCTTTTCCACCCTCCAAGCTTATTCACTGGGCTGCTTCTTAGCATATTTTCTGTCCCACGTGAGTCTCTGCTGGTCCTCCAGCTTTTTCTCTCATATTTCCACGATCCACCCTCATGAGTGGTTTAAATTTTGGAGCTACAGGTTACAAGAAGGCCTTTGAGTGCTTTGGAGCTTCCTGGATTTCAAACTTCTCTGGCGCTGCAACCTCAGGGTTTTTAAAACACAATTAAACCTCGTGCCTGAATAGCTGCTCTCTGCTCCCCCTGTCAGAGTCCACGCCGAGCAACTGCTGTCCAAAAAAAGCAGTGCTGAAAACTTAAAAAATGCCAGATTCTACCACAGACCTGAGAAATCTGTTTGCCAAGATACTTGGTGCCCAATACTTTCAGAGAATCACAAAGTCATTGAGATTAGAAAAGACCCCCGAGATCGTCGAGTCCCCCTCTGCCCCATCCCCACCTTGTCCCCCAGCCCAGAGCACTGAGTGCCACGGCCAGGCCTTCCTGGGACACCTCTAGGGCTGGGCACTCCAAACCTCCCTGGGCAGCCCCTGCCAAGGCCTGACCACCCTTTCCAGGAGGAAATTCCTCCTCCTGGCCAACCTGAGCCTCCCCTGGCACAGCTGGAGGCCGTTCCCTCTCCTCCTGTCCCTTGTTCCCTGGCAGCAGAGCCCGACCCCCCCCGGCTCCCCCCTCCTGTCAGGGGGTTGCAGAGCCAGAAGGTCCCCCCTGAGCCTCCTTTTCTCCAGGCTGAGCCCCCCCAGCTCCCTCAGCCCCTCCTGCTGCTCCAGCCCCTTCCCCAGCTCTGCTCCCTTCCCTGCACACGCTCCAGCCCCTCCAGGTCTCTCTTCCATGAGGTTCCAGACCTGGACACAGCCCTGGAGGTCCCTCAGCAGTGCCAGCACAGGGGGACAATCCCTGCCCTGGGGTTGTGCCCACACTATTCCTGATGCAGCCCAGGATGCCATTGGCCTTCTTGGCTACCTGGGCACACTTCTGGCTTTCCTCTCATTGGTCACAGTTTGGACAGGGGACCCAACTTTTAAAAAAGTGCTTTTTTTTTCTCCTTTCACATGCCCTAAGTCATACTGCAGTTATTTTTAACAGCTTCCCCCAACAAACCCCAAAATATGCCCTTCAAATTCTCCTGATTTTTCCACAAATGACAATACACCCTGAGACTGAATACAAAATGGGCTCCCAAGCTGATGCTCTGATGAATTCTTTATCTTGCCTCAGGCTTTGGTACCTGCAGGTACCAAGCATTTAAATACCAAGCTGATGAAATCCCTGGTTAGAGCCTTTTCATGTCAAATCCACTGTAAATATTAGGCTTTTGCTGATGTTAAATAGCCTAAACCCTGAGTCAGCTATCAAAACTCCCCAGCTCGTAAGGGATCAGGCTGTACTTAGGATCTCAACATTTGTATCTGAGTTGACTTACAGCTCACATTAAGTAAATATATTCTTAGCTCTGCCCATCAAACTCTGTTAAGAAGTGATGAAACCTGTGCAGTAACTTCAGCCTTGTTCATCATCTGACTTATTTACTGTTGCTAGGTAAAGTCATTTTCTGAAAGTCTGAGGGAAAAATCACCCCTCAACTGAAGGCAAAATTCATGCAGGAAAATGCAGAGGGACAGGATGAGTCAGGGGACCAGTGTGAAAATCTCTTGCAGCTGTGCCAGCAATGTAGAATATTGTTCCAAGGCCAACAGAGACTTTATGTTAATGCTGTTATATCCTCTGAAAGTTGCTATAAAGAAAGTTGGCAAGTTTTGGTTCAACCATCATAAAAAAAAAGGTGACTGAGGTCACCACTCTCTCTTAGATCAACAGGCTGAGCTGAAACTAAGAGAGTAGACAACTTACCCCTGCAAACATAATTGGTGCCTCCAAGAAACATCAACCAGGGAAGCATGGAAAGGCTGGATTTTCCCTTTTATGCATCCTGAAGATCAAAAAAAAAAAAGGGCAGGGGGTGTAAGTTTGGGGTTTATGCACCTCGACAAGCTCAGAATTATGACATTCCCAGCTGAAGCTGAAAACCAAAGAATTTCCATACCAACCTTTAATTTCTTGCAAGCTTGAGTTAAAAACACCAAGAAGAAAAGTCATCTTGTTTGAAGCCAAGATAACAAATTCTATCATACATCTTTCATTTACATGGGGTGAGATGAAGTTTAAAAAACACATCCACTTCAATTATCCTGCAGGCAATATGGACACATAGGAATCCTACTCCCACACAGCTCGTTTGGAGGCCAGCAATATTTATGACTAAAAAAAAACCTCAGCAGGATTTAAACAAACACACGCTTTCCTGGGTGAAACTTTACATCTGTTTCTGTTTTCTGAGAAATTAACCTCAACAGGGACAACCAGAGATTCAGCAAAGGCTCAGCTGCTGGAAACGAATTCCATGAACTAAGGGAATGTGGCTCTGAGAGGTAACCCCTTCAAATAAAGAACCACTTCATACTTGTGAGATATAACCAGGTAAAGTCTACTAAAATGAGGCATCTTTATTTTGAAAAATCAAATTTCTTCTTACTAAGAAGAATAGTGCTCTTCCCAGGTCAAGAATTTCATAGCATTAAGTCCAAGCATTTTTATTCTTTTGCCACTTCAGGATCTTCTCTGAATCCATTAAAGCAGGAAAAAGACCTACCAGTGTAGAATGAAAAGATCCTGCTTAGGCTTTCACCCCTCTTATAGAATAAAGAAATCCATGGATCCAAGGACTTTCTTTACTAGTAGAAACATTCTATTTTTATTTCTAAAAAAGCTTTCATATGACAGGGTGTATGGACAGCATAATTACTCATATACCGTCATATAAAGAAAAAGCACCACTCTTCTTGTTTTTCTCAACATATCCACTGATATATTGAGATTTTCTTAACAAAGGCAGTTATAACTCTCAGGATACATTCAGGTCCACTCTTTCCTGCTCACTGTGTCCTCTGAAAGAATTTAATCTGGTATTTGCAGGTTTTAATGCAGAGAGGCCAAATCCAACAACCGTTTCTTCCCCTCTTGAGTTCATAGTGCAGCTGTCATTTAAGTCTAAAAGGACCTTGTAAAGAAAAACAGGGAAAGCAAATCACCTCTCAACAACTCATAAAATAATATTAAAATCAAATCAGGTGATCAGATTCACAGTGTCTAGCAGACCAAGACATGCACCTCTCATTTCCACTCCTGCTCATCACTTCACTCATCCCCTTGGCACACAGGCACTTACAGGGGAACTTTAATTTGATTTAAAAGAATTAATCAGTTAATAAACCACCAAAACCCCATTCCAATATTCTTACCCATGATTTATCCTTTAGTTACACCTTATGTTTTCTTTTTCAGTACCAGAAAGGAAGAAAGAAAACAACCTAGATTCTTCATCAGGTTGAAGAATAACTCATAAGGTTGATACATGAAAGCTCAAACTGATGTGCACAGTTCCAGTCTCCTTGAGCAAGGAAATGTGTTCCCTCACAAATGAAAATGTTGGAATAGATATTAATCATGACATTTCCCACTAAGTATTTAGAGCATTGTTACATATTATATTATATATTCATATAATATATATATTAACCTGCATGGTTAGGGTCTGATTCAGAAAGCATAACTCACCTGTTCTTCACATAAGCTTAATAAAATATGTGCACTTATGGAAAGGCATAAAATATATTTATATAAATATTTTATGTATTTAATGCATATATAAAAAATTAGAGGTTTGAATAAATATGGGAAGTGGAGTGTAGGACTTCCCCATTATATTTTCCAGAGGTAAATGTGTACAAACATATGTGCATGCGTGGAAAAACATTAGGTGGCCCATTCGTATGTTGGATGTCCAGCTTCTCTGTTAATTGTATGTTGACATATTCTTCATGGGTTTATCCCATACACAACTCTGCTCAAATTAAATAAATAGGAGGAAATAAAATCATAGAATCACAGAATGGTTGGGGTTGGAAGGGACCTTAAAAATCATCCAGTCCCACCCCCTGCCATGGGCAGGGACACCTCCCACTAGCCCAGGTTGCTCCAAGCCCCGTCCAACCTGGCCTTGGACACTTCCAGGGATCCAGGGGCAGCCACAGCTTCTCTGGGAATTCCATTCCAGTCCCTCCCCACCCTCACAGGGAAGAATTTCTTCCCAATATCCCATCTAACCCTACTCTCTGTCAGTTTGAATCCACTCCCCCTTATCCTGTCACTCCAGGCCCTTGGAAATAGTCTCTCTCCATCTTTCTTGTAGCTCCTTCAGGCCCTGCAAGGCCACAGTCAGGTCACCCTAAAGCCTATATTAAGAATATAACTATTCATAACCGCTCAATACCCTTCTGTCCAAAATTCCAACAAGTTATAGAAAAATCCTTAGGAAACACAAGTTTCCAGATTCCAGTCTGTTACAACATGGGAACAACCTGCTTGGAATAAGAGCAGGAAAACCTCACAAGGCATGTTTTAAAGCATAAAGAGCAAGAGGAAAGTGCCCCCAGCGTAAACACAGAGGCCGAACCTCTGCGTAGAATAATGATTTGATTACTGAAGGACCTGAAGCAGAGTGTGATGCTGCAGATTGCAGGACCCAGAGAAATCCCCACGGAGCCCAGGAGGTTTTGATCAACAGCTTCAAACAGCTTCTTTCCGTGATGAACTTCAAACTTTGTCGCTTCTGTAGAAAACAGTGTCATCTGTGTCTCAGGCAGTGTCACATGTCAGGGATGATGCTCAGTGGACACCTCATTAAAATGAATGGGTTAAAATTAAAAATCACAAAGAGTGTAGGAGGAAGGTAAGGGAAGCAAAGAAGGAGGTTAAGAAGCTGCAATTCAGGACTGATGCTCAAAATTCCCTTTTGGTCAAATTTTTTATGGCTTCAACAAACAAAGAATCACATTCCCAAGAGGTTCACATACTGTGAAATCTGTGGAGATATTTTTATAGGCCTGCTGAAAAGTATTATTAGTTTGCATTCTAATCTTTACTAAGTATTTTAGAAACACAATCTAAGGAATAACAGAAACTGCTGTGTTTTCACACCATAATTGCATTGTGTGTAATTCAACCCTGTTGTCTCCTTACCAGATGGTGCACTGGTAGAATTTAGTGGGTATAGAAATGATGGATTTGGACTGAAATAAAATCAACCTTCGCTTGTGAAACGGGCTTTACATTCTACTACTGATTTCAGGGCAAAACTCTGAAATGTAAAAGCTGGAAAATCAGCAGAGGGAACTAACAAAGGGGTGTTATGGAGCCATACAAATGAATCATTGCAATTGAGACACTTTTCTGCCTGCTCAGCTCTCACTGATGTAGTGAGAGTGGGAGACATAAAATTACTATTTATGAAATTTGTGGAGGGCACAATGAATGGCAAATAATCCTGAGGACGGAGCAGTTGGACAAAGTGATCTGATTTGCTTGTTGAGCTGAACATGTCGAGAGTAAGAGTAAAGAGTGGAAAAAAGCGAGGTTTTAGGAGAAAAACTTGTATTGTGCTGCTTGTAAAACTCGAAACAAGACACTGGAGTCTTGACTGGCAGAGTTTGTGCAACAGTCTCGAAGAAACAGGAGTCACAGAGCTCAAAAAAACCCCCACATTTTAGTTGTGTTTCAACAGGGAGAAGTAGCAAGAAGAGGATTTTACGATGGCAGTGGCAAGAGGGGTGTGAGTTCCTTGTAGTCAGCTCCATGGGCCACATTCCAGAGAGAGAAAATGAAAAGTGGGAGAGTGCTACAGGAAAAACAAATATACCAATGGCTGGAAAAGCAACTGTACAGTTTGAGACATTGGCATTTGACCAAATGGGACATTTATTGAGGAGAATACCACACAAACCCAAATTCCTGAGGCGCTCCTCAGAGAAAATTCCTTCCAGCCTTTTCAGCCCCTTTGTTACCTCCCCTCTTTTGACCATCTGGTTGTGCTGTGTTTGATTCATCCAGAGACCCAACTACTGCTTCTAAATACCTTGAAGAATGAGGAAATAATTGATAATAAAGGAAACTTCAGCCTAGTGCAAATGGGTCTTATGAATGACAGATAAATAAATTAATTCACAGCAGATTTAAGGCACTTATTTTTAACAGAAGCATGATCAATCATGTGTGAAAAAAAACATGATGCTTTCCATTCACAAGAACAGTTAGAGGGGATTATTTGGAATATATGCCTCAATGAAAATATATGTTTCAATCATTTTTCCCAGCTTTTAATGCTTTTATTAATTATTTAACTATTAATGCTTTTCCTGCCGGGCAAAATGATTTGATAAACGTTTTGAAGGATGAAATATTAGATTTTTGGGGTGAATTTCTTAAACTTTAAAATCTTAACATGGCATTCGTGGACCAAAGGTAGCTGAGGTAGCTGATAAAATAATATTCCATATTATGTCTCTATTTCTAGACACAGAAATCAAGAAAGAGATGTTACTTTTAAGTAAATTAACTATTTTGCACTTTGCCTCCCATAAAAACACAGGCAGAAAATGGATGGATTTTTCCTATTTTAATTTCTTTTCTTTAAGATCCATTTTTTCCAAAAAAAGAAAATACTAGGGACACTGCCTATGACTTTTTCTCCGTTGGTTATTATTCATACAATCAGTGACATCTATTTAATTTTAATTACAAATGCTATTCACGCTGAAGTTGGGGGGGGGGGGATTCAGGGGAATTAGAGATTTTTGGGATGTAGACCCGTATTCCCCTTAACTCCTTGAGCACAACAAGGGACTGGAGGATTTGGCTGTTAATCCTGGGAAAATGACAGCCATAAAAAACGTTGACTCATCCCACCAATCCACCCCTAAACCCACCATTAGGCTGTTACCACCAGGAACAACACTGTGTGGGCTGTGCATGTGCAAACGAGCACAAAACCACAGCTGGTATTTCTAATTCCGTCCAACCCAAGAGATACATGATCTCAGAAGTAGCTGAGATAATTACACAAACTAAATCAAACCCAAATACTGAATTCCCAAGCTGAAAAAAAAAAAAAGAAAAAAAGATAAGAAAAATCTTTAATATGTGTCGTATATAACTGTTGAAACATTTGCTTTCCATCTGCGCGCTCTCTAATTTTTCTTGTCACAAATTCTAATTACGAATAATGCTCGTAACACGTGTTTACACCTCTCCCATCCACTGCTCCAAACCCTGCTGAGAGGCCAGAAACTTGTTACTCCTCACCCTGCTTAGAGCCAGCGCATAATAATTCCACTTGTGATAACATAATAACTCAATTTTTGATCACAGAACTCGATTTGCCACCGCGTAATAACTCGAGCTGCGACTTCAGCGGGCATTAAACCCAAAAATGATTCTCTATTACAAAGAACATTGCCAAAAACCTATTTCCTAGGAGCACAGTGGGTACTACACGAGAAATTGCTTTTTGAATAAATGTTCTTTCTTCCACTGATTTGCCACCACACGAGGAAAAGCATCGCTTTTCTCCCATATTGAGTTTCAAGACGGGCTCCATTATATTATATTACATGATTGCATGGAATGCTTGTAATTACAGCTTCAAATCCAGACTTGGAGCTACTTCTGTTGCAGTGGATGCAGTTCACAAGGATTTTGACAATAGTGACAGTGAGAAAAACCTCTTTTCTAACAACCCCTCTGGCAGTATTTCATCTTTCCACAACTCAGAGGCTTTTCAGCACAAAAGGGATTGGAGACCTCTATAAAAAAAAAAACCCTTATGCCTGTGAGAAGAGGAATTCAAGCGTTGGGAGATGGAAGGAAAGGGTAAAAAGTTGTGGCAGGATTTACCAATTCAGTTGCAAGAGGTCTGTCTGTGTCAAATGCAAGCAACTGGCTCATGGGTAGCTCTCATGTTATATTGCAAAAAAAGTAATTAAGAGAAAAAGCAGGCTGAACATAAATTCTTCTGTAATTCAAGCTGTTAAGATATCAAGCCCGAATCTGAGAAGAATTAATACAGTTTAGTTTTCTTACATTCATAATTCAATTTATTTAAGACTATTTTTAAAGTATTTTTTGATCATATGACAAGCAGCCTGTTTTATGAAAATATATGGAATAGTGTGGGATGTAGATTCTGCAAATACCTTTGAAACTCTGATATCAGCTGTGATATCTGTGGTAAAGATTCCATAAGTTCCACTGCTTGCATTTTTCTCTCCATGTGTGTTCCACTAGGCAGGGAGAAGTCTCTTGTTTAGCACCTCTAAATAAAGATGCTGAATAAGTGACAGTTTATTTATGAAATATTGTATCATTTGGTACAACTACAGCTGGCACAAAAATCCCTTAAACATATGTGGTTGTTTGCAAACCTGTCCAGTGAAGGTGAAAACAATAATATGTTTTTCCTTTGACCTTTTGCACCTGAAAATGTTGGATATAAAGCACACAAAGTTGTACAAGCTATATTTTTTTCATATACTCTGCTTAAAATAGGCATGGAAACTATGCATCATATTATAAGCACACACATGAGCAGTTTTCACTGCATTGCCTGTTTTTTTTAAGTGAGGGATGTTCACACAAGTGCTTAAGATCACAGAATCAGAGAATCACAGAATGGTTTGGGTTGGAAGGGACCTAAAGATCCAGTTCCAACCCCTGCTGTGGGCAGGGACACCTTCCACTAGCCCAGGTTGCTCAGAGCTCCATCCAGCCTGGCCTTGGACATTTGCGGTGATGGGGCAGCCACAGCTTCTCTGGGCAATCCGGGCCTCACCACCCTCACAGGGAAGAATTCCTTCCCAACATCCAATCTAAATCCACCCTCCTTCAGTTTGAAGCCATTCCCATCGTCCTGTCCCCACGATGCATTTCCAGGGCTCCCACCCTGTCGTTACTCAAAAGTGGCTTTAGGGCGGAGCTGAAAGGCATTTTGGCAAACCATAAATAAACCATTTGCCCTCAGAAACGTTTTTAGGGACAAGTTAAACTCAAACCAGCCACAAAGGCTGAGAGAGAAACTCCAACTCTGCCCAGAGCTGGGTCAGGGCGCCCAAACGTGCTCTTGCCTGACAAGGTCCGCTGAGCTTTGCCTAACCCAGCTACCCGCAGCACATCCCATCTGCTGCCCCAGCATTGTCACACACAAACCTACACCAGGCAAATAAGAGGGTTGGTGTCCCTCCTGTGTGGCTGCTACAGTCACCTGCTGGCAGAGCAGATGGGATTTGTCACCAACTACCTGTCTGACAAAGCTGGGTCTGAGGGGGTTCATCGCCATCTGAGCGTAAAGCTGAGCTTTAGCCTGAGGCACCGTGTGGGAGAATGTCTCCTGACTGAGCAATTCCTTCACAAAGGATATGATTTTGCTGTGGTCATGTATCCAATGAGTGACAGAGCTGGAAACAAAGTCCAAAAATCCCATAGAGAGGGTGGAAGGGACCACAGTGGGTCATCTGGTCCAAGCCTAAGCAGGGTCATCCTAGAGCACATCCCAGATCAAAGGATCTTAATTTATAACTTTTAGAGGCAAAAAGCCACCATGAAGGATGAGGGTGCCTCTGCCAACCTTCAGGGAAAGAGTTTTGCTGACGAGGAGCAGGATTTCACTGTTCAGTATAAGAGTTTGATCTCTAAAGGAAGAGACACTGAGAAATGATGACTTAAGACTCCCTCAATATTTGCATGTCTTCTGCCTCCACATCCCCAGCAGTTCAGCACATCACTGGAGCACTGCTGATTTTAGTGACTGGTTGCCAGAAAATGGTACAACTTGGAGAAAATGGGGAGCTGGTTGTGCTGAGTAAGCCACTGCCATTTACTCACAGAGTAGACACGGAGTTACAAGCACAGAAGGAGCACAAGTTCAGGCTGTCTTCCTCCATCTTCCAAGTCAGTGCTTTGTTTTCAACATTATTTGGACACCTCAAGTCTCAGCAGTAAGTCTGAAACGGAAAACAGTCAGCATTTTCAGGGTGCAAGAGCCAAAACCCACGTAGGAAACAAAATGTCTTCCACTGAAATAATAATGATGCTACAAACTGCAGAAGCAGTAAATCAGTTGGGAGAACTTAAAGCTGGTTTTGAACCTACAAAGAGGATCAAAGATCTAACTATTAATATAAACAGGAGGTGGGGATTTTATATATCTATAAATCAATATGCAAGTGAGCGCTCCAATAATAATTTCATGTGTATTAACATTTTTAGTTTATGTACATAAATAAACCATATTGTACTATGGTACCATATTTTCATGACATCCCTGTATTAAGCAGTTCTTTCTATACCAGGAACGAAGACATAAAGGACAGATGAACTTCTGAACCCATTTCCCTGCAGAATGCATCACAACTGTGAGGTTAGAGGGAAAAAAAAAAACCTTATGGACAGTCAAGACCCATCGGCCTGAGAAGTTTCCTCCATCAACAAGAGAGAGTATTTTAGAGATGATAAAATACTACATAAATCTTCCAAGTAACTGATAAGAAAATGAGCAAGGTCATAAATCCTTAATATTTAACTCATCTCAACCCCACTGAAGAAACACTTTTTCAAAGAGAGTTAAATATAGCCAGCCAGTAAAAGGAATCAACACAAAAGACATGACCACATAGGGGCGAAGCAAAATTCTGGTAGTTCACCAAAAGAAGACAGAGAAAAGGAAGACCTGCAAAGTTCTGGTCTCCCCAGGCGAGATGGTCTCTTACAACTCGTGACACAGGTTTTTATCCCCGGTTAATTAGGAGAGTTAATATGTTTCCAGCAATGAATGTGGGCTGAAAAACTCCATATATTGACAATCAGCCTTTCTTTCCCACTGAGTGCACACCAAGTTTTGTGTGATGCAAACGACAGCACGGGGCATGACATGCAACTGAACCCAAACACTCCCTAATTAGGATCAGCCATTAACCTTCAGTCGGTGGTCACTGAGGTCAGGGCTGGGGATTCAGAATCCAACCAATTTACACCTCCCTCCCCGCAGAGTCAGGTCTGCACAGGGGCCTCTCATCAGAGGTGTTTCCTATGCAACCACAGAACCTTTTACAGAGTCATTAGGCCCAATTAAAATTCAACTCAAGCTGGACAGTTGGCCTGTCCACAGGCCAAGCTGTGTTTTCCAGTCAGCTGGAGGTAAACTAGAGCTGCCTCGGTGTGTTTCAATCCATACCGGTTTTCAGCAGGAAATCTGTGGGTTTGACTTAGCAAAGTTTTGTTAAAATTATCTGCTGCAAAGAGAAAAGACCTCCCCTGGCACAGCTGGAGGCCGTTCCCTCTCCTCCTGTCCCTTGTTCCCTGGCAGCAGAGCCCGACCTCCCCCGGCTCCCCCCTCCTGTCAGGGGGTTGCAGAGCCAGAAGGTCCCCCCTGAGCCTCCTTTTCTCCAGGCTGAGCCCCCCCAGCTCCCTCAGCCCCTCCTGCTGCTCCAGCCCCTTCCCAGCTCCGTTCCCTTCCCTGCACACGCTCCAGCCCCTCCAGGTCTCTCTTCCATGAGGTTCCAGACCTGGCCACAGCCCTGGAGGTCCCTCAGCAGTGCCAGCACAGGGGGACAATCCCTGCCCTGGAGTTGTGCCCACACTATCCCTGATCCAGCCCAGGTTCCATTGGCCTCTTGCCCCCCTGGGCACACCCAGGCTCGTGTCCAGCCTCTGTCACCAGCACCCCCAGGGCCTTTCCCAATCCTTTCCATCCCCTCTGTCCCAGCCTGGAGCTGCAGGGGGTTGTTGTCACCCAACACTTGGCCTGGTTGAGCCCTTCACAATTGGCCTCAGCCCATTGAACCTGCCTGTCCTGATCCCTCAAAGACAGAAAACATGCTGTTGAGGCAGAAGAGTGCAAAATTCCCTCTCAAAAGACCTGATCCAAACCAATTAAGTAAATGAGACTCGTTCTATTAACTTTCTGTTTCTATTCAGCTGGCTCTCTGTTCGATCCCACGCAACAAGATGGAAATTGTCTTCCCTTAAAAAAGACATCGTGGATTAAAGAGCATTTCTCACATTACAGAAGTTGTACTTCTGCTATTCAAGCAGAAATGCTCATAGTTTAGTTCAATGTACTGTATTTCACCCCTTGCTGAACATTTTGATGGATGGAGGCGAATGCAAAAGCCGCACAAGTGGTAGTTCCTTCTTTGCTTGAAAACAGTTTGGTTTTCAGTGCTTGAGCTGCAGTAGAAGGAAAGCAATTTAGATCCTGGCAAATCAGGAAGAATCCACCAAATTATTGGCAGCTTAAAATGCAGAGTGCTGGAGAAGCCCAGACTGCTACAAGCCACTGCCCAATATTTAGCAGGGCTACCAAAGGGTTGCTAACTTATAGCTGTTTTATTTCTTTTTATAAGACATTACAGAGTTCCCGCAGAAGAGTAAGGATCCTGGGAAGAAGAACAAAGCCAGGAAGACACGTGGCTCAATATCAGAGAGAGAAAACAGCCATCAGAGGGGCAGGAATGAAGTTAGGGAACAAAAGCAGTAAGAAGAGGATACTAAAGAAAAAATAATCAGCTACTCTGGCAGTCTCTGGCTGCTGCTCAAGAAACCCTTCCCAGGGTTTTACATGATGGAGTGCCCAGGGAATAAGTCTGTGGATACCCAGAGGCAAAGTTAGAGAATCATAGAATCATGGAATCATTGAGGTTGGAAAAGACCTCCAAGATCATGGATCCCCCCTGTGCCCGATGCCCATCTTGTCCCCCAGCCCAGAGCACTGAGTGCCACGGCCAGGCCTTCCTGGGACACCTCCAGGGATGGGCACTCCAAACCTCCCTGGGCAGCCCCTGCCAAGGCCTGACCACCCTTTCTAGCAAGAAATTTCTCCTCCTGATGTCCAAACTGACCCTTCCTGGCACAGGTGGAGGCTGTTTCCTCTCCTCCTGTCCCTTGTTCCCTGCGAAAAGAGTATGACACCCATCTTGTTACAACCTCCTGGCAGGGAGTTGTAGAGAGCAATGAGGTCTCCCCTGAGCTTCTTCTTCTCCAAGCTGAGCCACTCCAGCTCCCTCAGCCTCTCCTCATATCATTTCCTCTCTAGACCCTTCCCCAGCTTTGTTGCCCTTCCCTGGACACGCTCCAGTCCCTCCTGCTGTGCTCCTGCCTGGGCAGGAGAATGGAAATCTGCACCAGAAACAGGCCAACCAAGCTACGTCCAACAGGAGCTTCCCCACAGGGGTCATAGCACTGCAAACATCCCACATGTGGCTTCATGAGTCTGTTTAGACACAGAGGAAGGAGAAGACATTTGTGTCTGAGTTCATTTCAGTTCTGGCTGCTCTCTGGAGCCACCAGCAAGGCCACCAGTGACTGCCAAAGCACAGAGGTGGTGTCATTATGGAGACACCTGTCCACGGGACCACGGCGATGCCTCTCACTCACCAAGGCCACCAAACAACAGATGGTGGCAACCTTTGATGGCAACCAACACAGACGGGATTGGAACCAGTGAGTGAATATATATATATATTTCCAGTTTCTTTTCAACCAATTTTTTTCCATGGAAACATTATCTATTATGTATTACCTTACATGAAGTCCCAGAGAAGGGCTTGATTAAAAAAAACCAGCAACAACAACCTTCCCTTTGCAGTGTAATACAAAACAAAACTGGCAAACTTGAGTGCCTACTGTTTACATTTTACGGTGAGAGGGCATTTTCACACTGCCTACTGCTGATGCTGCAATATTTCCACACCCACTTTGTTTTGTTGTTTGTTTGTTTTAACTCAGTTCACGCCAGAATTAACCTGAGAAGGCTCATCAAAAAATGTCCTGTCTTCTCCACGGTAAGGAGGTTGTGTCAGCCCTCTGCCTGCATTTTTGTTTTGTTGTAACATTGATCCCTTTACAAAAGCAGGTCATCTCTGTGGCTGGCCTAGATAAAGCAGCAGGGATCCATCCATCCCTTACCCTGTCCCTGCTCATCAGCCAACTGTGCCCCTGCCCAGGTCACTACTTACTCCACATGTAGTTCTGGACCTACTAACCCAACCATTTCCACTCATGGGATTCCTGGGTGACTAAAATCCTGCAGCCTGCTCTTGTCCAGACATCTTTCACCATCAAAAATCAGGCTGTTTCCCCTTGTCCTGTCCCTTGTTCCCTGGGAGCAAAGCCCAACTCCCCTCCTGCTCCCCTCTCCTGTCAGGGAGTTGTAGAAAGCAAGAAGGTCCCCCCTGAGCCTCCTTTTCTCCAGGCTGAGCCCCCCCACGATCTGTGGGATCATCCCTGGAGGTATCTGAGGGGAACAGCCAAGGCACCTGCTTTCCTCACACACCACCATGGACACAGATTCCAGTCCCTCCCAATTTCGAGGGCCCGAGGAGCCAAGGGGGGGAAGCCAAGCCCAACCAAGCCCAACCTCCAGCCTTGTCCTGCCCTTCACAGGCGAAGCAGGAAGCTAAAAGTGAAAATCTTCCGAGCAGATTGCTGGAAGATTGTCTGTGGCAGAGATGTGTGGGCGGCTGGCTGCCTGTCTGGCTGCCTGCCCACCACTCCTCGTACACCTCCGGGATGCTCCGTGCCATCCTTAGCCTCAGAGGCACAGGAGACACGCACAGACCTCTCAGGTTTGGAGAGCTTTTGGATCTGTGGTTGTTCAGGCTTCTATTTATGAGCTTGTTGTGTAATAAGGAAGTGTGCTCAGGGGAAAAAAAAAAAAAAGTGGCTTTGCCATGACGTTGCTGTGGCAGAAATTAGATTATAAGCCCTTATCACCACTTAGGAGTGGAAAGTGCTGAACCTCCTGGGTGAAGTCTTAAGGGCAAAATTCCTACTGACATAAATAAAGCCAAGATCTCACCCTGAATATTTGTGCATTTTCACGGAGAATTATCATTAAAATCCACATTCATCACACAGCCTTCACTTGCATCAGCAAAGACGACCAACCAAAACAGAACATAACAAAAATTCCCCCCACAAAAATCAAAACAACATGATCTTAACACCAAACAGAAGTGAGCAATTTACACAAACCCAAGCCTTTGACCCTACAGTCACAACTAAATTATTTCCACAGACAATCATGATTATTTATCAACTGACTGCAGCAAAGACTGCCCACAGCACCGCCAAAGCTTATGGAAATGTTCCTAAGATCCTCTCTTCCTTTGGAAATGCCTGTACAAGCCAAAGAGAAATCTCCCAAACCCAGTAATGTGTTTTGGTTCAGATAGAATTTATTTGTGGAATAGCAGGCTTGAGTGATTACATGCTTTCTTGTTGTTTTCCGAGGTTAATATCCATTTGTGAAAATGAAAGTAGGAGTGCGTTACTCTGTGTTTTATTAAATCGCATTAGTTACTGAATTTTAAGTGGCCTCCTCTGCTGGAAGTAAATCTCACGACACTGGCTAGTAAGTTTTGGCTGTATTCACTGCCCAAAAGCAAACGGGCTGTGACTGCTTTATTTCTAATGCAGCATTTGTTGCTTTGTGTCTGTAATTTCTGACTTTCCCCAGAAGCAAGACGTAGGTAGCTTTTTTTGTTGTTGTTGTTTTCCAAGCAAAAAAAAATTAAAATGTAAATTTGGTGCTATAATCATTTTTAACTCATCCATTTGCTTGCTCTGACATCTCCATGGAACTAGATCTGTGAATTTTATGAAATTCAGCTGTCTGGCTTCTTTTTGCCTGAGCTCTTTCTGGCAAAGGCAGATCCTCCAGTGACGTTAATGACTACAGATTCCTTGGCAAACATGGAAATATAACCAGTAACTCCACTGGAAATCTGCTGTAGGTAACCAAAATACTGTTTTCCTGAATCTGCTAAGTTTCACATTAAGTTGTATCTGGGTAAGAAACAATTCAAGAGCAGTGACATCTTTTTCTTTAAAAAAAAAAAAAAAAAAAGCTCTGAATTTAGATCTTCCCATTTCTTTCTCATTTATACCAAATATCTGTTGCTTTAGAACAGACAACCCCTGTAATAATTTTTCTTGTCCTCACCAGAAGCTTCTTCTGCTTTACTGTAAGATTTCTCCTGGCTGAGTGCCATCCCTGCATGGATTTTTCTCAGTTTTCTCACTTCTGCTCCCACACATCTCCTCTGGTGACCTCTTCCTGACTGCATGGAAATGGATCCCTTTTTCCAGGTTTGCCCCCTCGGCCCTCCTGCTTCCCGAGAAGCCAGGTCACGTCTCAGTCACCTTTCCGTCTTTGTGGTTCACTGTATCCCAAAATGGGATTCATTTCAGCTAATTCCAGCTGTTCTCCTGCCAGGATTTAAACTACAGTAGTTGTAAAAGCCCCCAGGGAGATTTCAGATGGGGAA